CTGATTGTATAGTATCAAAATCTACTCTTAGTTTTCGTGCTCTTTGTATATTTTGATGATCCTCTTTGAATAATTAACTATTTCTCTTCGAAGGACCCATTGAAACTCTCTAATGGCTATACTTTGGTGATTGAAAATTAGAAACTGATATAACTAATTGACCATCCTCAACGTTGTCATTAACTACTATTAGATATTAGGTTTTAATTAGGATAGGTTAGCCTTTATAAGAAGATTGTTAGAAATAATTATTTAGGTTTTCTTGTCGACTTAAATAACTTGTAAATTAAATTAATTTATTGATATAATTATGATTAGAGAAGACTTCATTTTATGCCAGATTTTATTATATGTACACTGTCCAACATGTTGATACAAATTCTGCATATCTTATATTATTATATATATTAGTACAGCTTGGCCATATTAATTGTGTATGAAAGTCCTCTATATAATTAAGATATAATTCATAATACGATAATGGCTATAAACAGAAAAACAATCAGAAAAAAACGATGAAGGTTCGTAAACACCATCAAGAAAAGAGCTATAGGTTTTCATTATGGTAATTTATTCCCTCTAAAAATGGCACACCAATAAATCTTTTGCAAGTCGTGTGAATAATAAGATATTGGATTTTATACGTAATAATAAATAAGTGAAAGAGAGAGCTCAACACAAGTATTTAACGTGGTTCAGTGATGTGCCTTCGTCCACAAGGAACAAAGCAGACATATTTTTATTCAATGTGATTAATAGGATTACATCATCAGTATGTATATTAACCCTAGCCCAAGCACATACAAAACTTTAGGGCCCACTCCGTTCCATTCGGTGCACTCCGATTTTCTCATTCCACTCAGCTTCGCTCCGCCCAGGCATTGACCAATTTGATCTAGTAAATATATATTCTATTCTATATGAACCACATATACAACATGTAACAATCTAAATTCATGGACGCTACCACCCCATAATCACCAAGCAATGGGGCCTACAATCCCCTTGCGAACTTTCCTATTCGATCTTAATTTGAAAGTCGATGTGTAGACTGAAAGTTCAACACATTAATAGATATAAAATCTGAAAATTACTTCGAAAATAATTAATCTTTTAGTGCTGTGTAACATTGAGACATTTGATTTATGATAATTGATGCCTGTCAAGACATGAACAAGCACTTTCTATTTTCTTTTTATTGCTTCTGGATACATAGATGGCATGTTTTGGCTTAATTAACTTGTATTGGATTCACTGACTTCCAGAGAGAAAAAAAGCTGGTAGGACTACCTAGCTTATACATACTGTTCATGAGGATAATAGTAGACTCGTTGAATATTAATGTATACGTAATCAACTAAACTTACGCAACAAATTTAGGACACATAATAAAAATAAGCCAATCACGATCATAAAAGTCATCGTTAGGTTTATAAATTACATGCTGAGGTCAATATGTTCCTGTTGTTTTATAAGTAACTATTGACCTGTTTCAATTTAATAACAGCCATTTGATTTAGTTTATTGAAGAATCTCAGTAGATTCTGCAAGTGATTAGATATTTTGTGGGTTTCCAGTCAAAGTATTGAATTTGTATCTATTCAAATGCAAGTATACTGTTAAGATTTAGCTGTCACACCATATTTTTATTAATTTATGGGTTTAGATTTTATATAGATTTGAGTAATGATAGTTTCAACAAAAACATATGAATGTGAGCAAGACAATGCTTAGGAGGTGCAACAAATGGGGATAAAGTCTCATCCCTTACACATGGATATATATGACTGCTAACAAGCAATCTCACTTAATTTAACTTTCAACAAAGGTATGACAATTAGATTAGAATACATTTTTTTTTTTACCTATGATACAATGTTAATTCATTTTATATTTTTGTAAGTAATTTGAATACAAAATTTTTGTTTGCTCTAATACAATATGGATAATATATAAGTTGAAGCTAAACAAAATAGATAATTTTATTTATTTATTTTTAATCTGGATTCATATCTCTAATTGCGTGGGTCAAATTTATTTTCTCATCGAAGGCTTAAATTAATTACGATTTTTTCATAATCAGACGCTGTAAAAATTTGAAAGTAACTTTTTTGTGCTCTATTATCATGTTGAAACTTTTTAAACTTTTGAACAAGGTGGTCGAAAGCCGAATCTAGATCGAATGCAAACCATGAAGATAAAAAAGGCCAAGCAAAAGGAAAAAAAAAAAAAAAAAACTATAAAATCCTATGTCTTTCTAGTCAGGTTGTATCTGAATTTAATTAAGAGCAGTAATTGAAAACTATGAAAATTGTGAAAGTAAAAGGGGGTGACAGTAGCAATGTTTTCTTTTGAAGTCAGAGACCAGTATCCTAGACTATAAAATTGTATAAGGTAATTTTTATAACATATGGTCTTCAAAAACTTAATAAGTGTACTTTCAGCCCTGGACTTTTCATAATTACTTAATTCGCGGGAGGTTAGTGAATGTGCTATTATGCTTAATTTTTTCAGTAAGTTTAAATTTACTTTTTAGAATATTAGTGTTAGGATGAATAGATCAATCAGAAGTGAAAATGGTGCAAGTGAATGTTAAGGGAATAAATCCCACATCAGTTAAATACCGAAATATTGACCAACATAAAAAGAAATTGGGCTACTCCTCTTACTAAGGTTAACCTTATGAAGATGGACCCTAAATCTTAATATGGTATCAGAGCCCAGTAAGCTCCAACGAGCTATTCGATCCGATTAAGTCTCAAAAATAAGCACACGAATTTCAAGATTGGTCTGTTCAAAAAGAGCCACCATCTTGCAGGGCATGTTAAGGGAATAAATCCAACATCGATTAAATACCGAAATATTGACCAACATAAAAAGATATTGGGCTACTCCTCTTACTAAGGTTAACCTTATGAAAGTGGACCCCAAATCTTAATAGTGAAGCCATGTAACAGACCACAGCACAATGAATAGGAATCCACCACTCTCATAGGGGCCACCAATCTAAAGGTAATTTTGAAAATCATGTTTGGTAAAATAAGATCACTGCAAAAGATTTATGAGATGTCACCAATGATCCTCCTTTGTCACTGGTGGAAAATGATAATAAGCCCAATATTGTATGTAAAATCAATATAATAAATTAAACTTTAGTTTCTTTTTGTATTTTATAATTTATTGTACCACACAAGACATTAAAGTCAAAAGAAATATAAGACGTATATTAAGTCGTGTTCTTCTCTCACTTACAATATTAGTGATTGGTCCTTTATCCATACATAATTTGGTATATTCTTCAATAGCTAAATGTGCTTGTTAAAGTGATCAAAGATACGTTCTTAACGAATTTAATCTTAAGTTGTCGCATATAGGATGGACAAGATACCTTATTTTTAAACAGCATGAAACTAATGAACTTAAGATTAATGAAACAAATAATAAAATCTGTTTAATTGTTTTATATATAAATAAAAAGAGAGACCACTTTTATAGTGCTATACTGATGAATAACCTCAGAAAGAAAGATTTTGTACTTTCTTTTATCCAAGAAAGATTTCATACTATTATAGAAATTCCTAGTTTAAAATCTGAACTTGAAAGTACGCAAGGAATCAAACTATTATGGAAGTTCCTAGTTTAAAATCTTGAACTTGAACGTACGCAAGGCTTAAGCTAGGAAGATATCATTAGACTTCCATTATACGATTACAAAGGGAATAATCTTTTTACCTGTCGAAAATCATCTTATGCTTTGAAAATTATATCTTCAACGAAAACCTGAGAATTTTTCTTTTTCATAAGTTGACAATTTCAAATGACTTAGACATTCAACTTTCTTCACCTGGTCACTCAATCCACTTGCAATAAAAAAATTAATCCCTAGAATTTCTTCTGAAATATGGACAGTGGAGGCTTCTAAAAATACTTTGTTGACATAGCAAAATCCAGGAACAATTTCTGGTCTAATTGACAACAATATTGACTGCTTCCTTCTCTTCTTTTGGTTGATTTTATGAAGAATAAAAAAAAAAAAAAAAAAGAAAAAACTGCATTTCTCTTTGATCATATAAAAGTAACAATAAAATAAAATAAAACTCGTGGGTTAATTTTGACTCTTATATGTCAAAATGGTAGACAAAGTCACTCCTGTTTGGCCCCTATTTTGTGGAAATGAAAATGCGTAGAATAGATTTTTTTTGAAAAATGAGTGGTTGAAAAATAAGGAAATTTTTTCGATTTACGTATAATATTATTTTATGGAAGATTGTGTAGTTGAAAATAGGATAGAGAAAAATGAAATGTAATGTAATAAAAATTAATGGGGGCCAAACGGGGCTAATCACGAAGATTTCATGACATTAATTAGCTGAACTAATGTCAAATACCAAGAGGTTGGATTGAATCTAAATATCTCTTATTGAATTATTTAGTCTCAGATTGAGAGCATCCTCAATATTATGCTTGAAGATGATAGAACTTCAATGCTCTTTAGCATGATATTGAGTCCCGCATCTCTACCATTTCAACACCAAAAGATTCATCTACTTTCAAGGGTAGTTCAACTATATATAAATCAAAAGCTATTATCCGTAGAGATTAATTTGAGGCATTATCAGTTACCCATTTAGTCAAAAAAAAAATTAGCTTCTAATTAATGAATTTTGACCTGATAGCCGGTGGTCTTATACCGTTAATTTGGCTGAAAAACGTTACTTATTTTAATCTCTTCTATCTGTCTTTAAACGGTGAACATGAATTTTTCGTACCTAGTTTAATAATTAATTATATACAATAAATAATTAATGAGAAAAAGTACTATTCAATTTTAAGTTGACAACCTTTTGGATTGTATATTGGGGTTTTGACGGTTGACATTTTCGTTTTTGGACGTGACATGCAAAGGTAAGCTAGACTTCATATTAATTTTTTTTGTCAGAAGTCAAATAATGGTGGTTATAAAAGACATGGTTGTACTTTACATACATACAGATATAGAAATTTTTTTCAATATCAAGATCTTACAAAGGATTAATAGCGAAGGCTAATTCGTATAAGATTATAGATAGAAGAAAGTAAAACTATGTCGTTTTGTACTCGTGATGCTGCAGGAACGCTAATAGCAAGGAAGAAGGTGAGTTAGGTTCTTTTTCTTTTTTTGGTTTGAGTTTCTTGTTCTGTCCATCGCAGTCCCATCTTAACGTTTTGCTAGCTTGTTGTGGTTAAGCGGAGAATTGTGCCTGAGAATTTGTTGAAAGGCTTCTGGTTTTGAGAGCGTTGCGTTTAGTATTAGTTAATCACCAAAACACTGCTCAATAAATGGGATTTTCATCCAATATATAATTTTAGATTATAAAATTAATTATTTTTATAATCAACCATTAACTATAAGGTTGTAATTTATGCTCCCATTTTTGTTTCCTCATGAATAGATGATTATTATCTTATTTCAGGTTGTAGGTGTGAGAAATGCTGAGGAAGATAGCAGTTCATATGTTTCTTTGCCTAATGGAGATGATCTTGGAAGTGACAAGAAGGTAAATATAAATGTAATTTATTTTCAGATTTCATGAATTTAAAAGGATCAACCCATTGATTAAACTGTATAATTGTTTCTTAATACTTCAACACTAATATGTACTAATTATGATCTCCACCTTTATCTGATCTGTATATCAACCCCTGTATATCTGTTAAACACTATTTCTCTGCGTGATTATTGATTTTCTAGATCTAGTCAAGTCGTGTATAACAAATATGAACATCACAAGTCAATACATATGTACACACACATAAAACACAAAATCTAGTAGAAGTAGTCACAAATACTTGGTCCTATAGCCATAATTTTTGTTGCTTATTTGTAGATATATTCAAGTCATATTATTAAACAGTATGGAGCTTATTATTATTGTTAGTTCAAAAAGAAAAATGTAATTAAAGATCCAAAATAACCAATTTGAAATATATTTTTTTTAATCATCCTCTTAGAATGCTTGCAATTATAGTATCTCTTATTAGTTTGTAAGGAGCCAGGTTTCATATCATATATAGAAGACCATTTTAAAACTCAAGGATAGGTTGAGAGGGCCTAATGTTGACTTTGACCTTTTTCATCTCAAAGTTTTCCATGCATAAAAAAGTTTTGGCAGAGTTTTATTGTTTAGAGGTATCAATGGATTAAAATTTTACTTTCTCAAAAAATTGTGCTTATTTTGTTTAATTTTTTTCCTTAAATTTTTGGGGATGATTTTATTTTATTTTAGTTGAACTTTCTCAGTAGGGTCTTTGATATAAGTGCTGCTAGTAACGAAATGCTGATGAGCAGAAATATTTAAGCAATAGTTCAATCAATTCATGTGTATATCTTGTCCTAGTTATTTTCTTTTCAATTTGTGAGAATATTGTTTTCTTAAACTTCTGTTATGCACATAACTGGTTAAATTCACGCACTTTTTTTGTTTTTTGGCAGCAGGAGGATCATCTAGAATCAGCTAAAGCCAAAATGGATGCAGTTAGAGAAGACAATGAAAGACTAAAACTGACTTTATCTCAAATCTTGAAAGATTACCATTCTCTGAAAAAGCATTTCCATAGTATTGCTCCACAAGATGATGAGCCCACAGTACAAAAGAATACGCCAACACCAACGGAATTTTTTCAGGGGGCATCACTTCCGGATCTGCCAGTGGTAGAAGAATCCAAGCTCGTTTCTCTTAGCCTCGGGAGATTTTCATCAGTTGATGAAAAAAGGGAGGAGAGGAGGAATAACATCGAGAAGAATCATGAGGAGCACTATAAATTTGATGGACTTGAACTAGGGTTGGACTGCAAATTTCATTTAGGTTCTTCTGATGTCATGAAGAATCCAAGTACAGAGAATCGTTTGGATGATTCCAAGGAAGATGAACAAAATGGTACATGGACACCCAGTAAAAGCCTAAAGACAAAAAGAAGTGGAGATGATGAAATTCTACAGCAGAACCCATTGAAGAAGCCTAGGGTTTCTATAAGAGCCACATGCGACACCCAAACGGTTAGTCATCTAAAGTTGATCTATGAAAATTTTTGTCGCACGCTTTTCTTTCTTAATCATGTCGTTTCAGCGTATCAAAATACCCTTATATATATTAACCGTGATTTTACCTCAAGCCTTTACATACTTATTGATATTCGAGCCAACAAAGTTAAGTTTATCATATTGTTTCTATTCTGAATTTATGAACTCCATTATGCAGATAAATGATGGATGCCAATGGAGAAAATATGGACAAAAAATAGCAAAAGCGAATCCTTGCCCTCGGGCATACTATCGCTGCACAGTATCATCGTCTTGCCCAGTACGGAAACAGGTAGATTATATATATATGCATTTGTCAAAATCTTAAGCATACCACGCTTTTTTCCCTCCACCAAATAAAAAAGTTATATTGAAAACAATTTCTGTCATTACTTTTTCTCTTTTTTTCATCAATCAAAGTATCTGTCAAACTACATGTAAAGTAGCAAAACTACTGTTCTAATATCATAAGTGCTCTCTCTTTTTTTAGGTGCAAAGATGCGCAGAAGACATGTCGGTTTTGATCACTACCTATGAAGGAACACACAACCATCCACTTTCAGTATCAGCTAAGGCCATGGCTTCTGCAACCTCTGCAGCTGCTGCCATGCTAAAGTCCGGCTCCTCCATCTCGCAACAAGGCCTTGGATTCTCAGCCACCTCCTCCACTAGTACTAATCTCCATGGATTGAACTTCAATTCCACTAATAACTTAACCACATCCCAGCCTTCCTATTTTCCTCGACCTTCCATCTCGTCTTCCCAGTCACACCCTACAGTTGTTCTTGACCTTACCACACCTAATATTTCCTCTCACAATAAATTATCTTCAAGCTTATTTTCTGATAGGCCCTCCACGTCCACATGTCTCAACTTTTCATCAACGCCATCATTTTCGTCCTTCAACTCCCACACCCTAAAAGCATCCTTGAATAACGAATTTCATACCCGATCAGGGGCATTGTTCAACAGCAGAAACCATATGGGAGCATCTTATAATTCTCAACCTTATATCCATAGTAATGTCCAAACTTCTCCAGAAGTACAGAATATGCATGTGCATGTGACAGATAAAATTGCTGCTGCAACTAAGGCAATTGCCCGTGATCCAACATTTCAATCAGCATTAGCTGCAGCAATTACATCTTTCCTTGGAAATTCAGGCGGTAATGTTCAAGAAAATCATGGCTCAGGAGGGAATTCTGGACAGAATTTTCATCTATATTTTCCTCAACAATCCATGAAGGATGAGATCGGATGTACAACAAGCTTTATCAACCATTGATTTTCCAACAAAAGAACTTGATATTATTTCCTCCGTTAACATTTTCGAGATGGAAATCTACATGTCACTTGTTGGGAATTTTACGTCAATTCCCTTTATTTCTATTTACCCATAGAATTTTTTATTGTTCAAGATAATAATAGTAAACATGAAAAAATAAAGAATATAACGCAAAAATTATAAAGACCGTCAAAGCTTTTTACTATATGAAAAATTGTTACAATCATATAAAATTTCACTCACCAACCCAATTCCCAAGCATTACAAAGAAAAATAAACCCGGACTTTGCCACACCTATTTTTCTACTCTTTGTATGAAAAGTCTCAAGATGAAAGACTCACAATATTTTTCTCTCAGATCAACTTTCTGGCCACACCCAAAATAATGAAATGTATCCACTATTCATAGGATTAATAACCAAGTAATAGAGTTTAATTTAAATGCAAACAAAATTCCTTTAACAAAACAATGATTCATTCATGTGCAAGACTCCAAAATCGGCTATAAATTGGAGACTAAATTCTGCAAGAATTCTACTCTCAACTTTAATTAGAAGTCTTCAATATAATAACTACATTTTATTATTTGCAATAAAAATCCTCTAGCTTTTGACTTTTGGGGCTATTACCCAAAAATCTCCACCTTGCCGAAAACGAGTCAAAATCTTGTCATCTCTTCTACAACTTTTAATCGTAATACTTGAAAAATATAGGTAAGCCTTTTACATACTTTAACGGTCCCACACTCCACCATATGAGTATAAACCACTCAAAATTATTCGCGAACTCCGAGCATTTTGTCAGCTACATGTCTAAACAACCCTGCTAATAGTTATAATGCAACTCTCCCATTGACTTTCCCAGAGAGCTCATCAGCCATCGACATTACAACACCACCACATACCTACACACCTTTCATCAAATGTCAATCAATGCTATGTGCAGATATGCTGACCCGCGCCAGTAAGAACACATCCTCTATCATGGCAATTGGCTACATGTCTTGAGGATGTTTTCATCTTACTTTACAGCACCACATCTATATCCTCCTCTACTAAGAGAGATGCATTGTTTGACCCCAAGCAGTTAGTCGACCCTGTTCCACCTTTTGGACAATTTCTCGTCACGTGGCCAGTCTGACCATAGTTCCAACAAGTTATTTCTTCTTCACGGAGTTGCCCTTCTTTCCCTTTTTAGTCACAAGCGTCGCATTGTCAGATGGAATATTTTGTCCCCTAATCTTCTTTCTTCTAAGATCAAGTTGTTTGTTACTTCTGCGAAGCTCAAAGTTTCTTTCCTATACATCAAGATTGACTTCATATGTTCATAGGTAGACGGAAGAGACCAGATGAGCCTTACTGCCACTACAAGAATTTTACCTTTTCCCTACAAATTTTATTTGTCGGGAAAAACCTTTGCGAACAAAAATTTGTGGGGAAAAACCTTTGCAAACAAAAAATTTTTGTAAGCACGTTTGTAGGGCAAACATCGAGGGGAAAGGTATAAGAAGACAAATTTTTGAAATTTGTGGACTAAAGCTTTTCCCTACAAACCCTTTGAAGACGAATACGATTCGTCGTGTAAGTTTTCTCCCTACAAAATAATTTGTCTGCTAAAGTTACTTTTGCCCACAAAGTGATTTCGCTTGTCCCTACAAATTACATTGTAGGCTAAAACATCCACATTTTCCCAACAACTAGAAATTTGTAGCAATATGGTATAAACTATTTTGTAAGCTAAATCTGTTTTCCTACAAATAATTTTTCGTAGGGAAAGCATGTTTGCAAACTATTATTAAAGAAATTAAATTATTTTTACATAGTAAAATTTTTAATGATAATCAAAATAATATAAAGATACAAAAAGGCAATATATTAATTAAAATATGTAATGTTAATCACTGTAACATTGAATCCAATACATATCATCAAAATATAAATAAAAACCATTCACTAAGTATGGTTGATTTTAAATTTAAAATAAAAACCGTACACATTGGACAATGTGACCGAATGATGGCTGCAATATCATGAACTAATGGAAGAGATATACATCCTCATGCGGATCTGATGAAGTTATACAGGCAAAAGAGCCACAATCTTTAGCTATATTATTCACTTGCTTATCCATTAAAACTGCCCTCCCATAACTACTATTCTTATTGTTGCTGTCCAACCATTTTTTTACCCTGCTCCCTTCTTCCCTTCTTGACGATACCAAGGACCTGTAAATCAGAAGATATCTTATTAGAACAGCCAAGAATCCTTCTGATTAATCCAAGCCAATGACTGAGCAGGGGAGAGCAGGAAATTGGGTAAAATATAAGTCAGAACAAGTCAAATAAGCAACATCTAAATTCATGATGCAGAGACTGAAAATATCTACAACATTCAAATATATAGAAGGCATCACCAAAATTAAATACGCAAACTAAGGTTGTGGGAAACATGATTACCCACCTCCTCATCAAGACATTCAAATTTCCACACACTCTCACCCTCTTTGTTTATTTCATTTCACCATCGTAATCCTGTCAAGATGTGTCCACTCACATTCTTGACTACCCAAAAATCAAGAGCAGCTAGAAGCACGGTAAAAACAAAAATAATGACAAAGCTATCAAAAAGTAGAGCTGAAAGTATGTAAAATGCCAAAGCTGCAGCCTGCCAAATGAAAGAATTTAATGTTATCCACTAGTAAAATTTGCATATAGAAATAACATCACAAAAGAAGATAATAAATGACGTTGAAAAACACGTGGAAGAAACATATATTTGGATGAGCATAATTCTCCCCTGCAGGCTGATAACAGAAAGAGAGAAACTTATGATGAGCAATCAAGCAATGTTACTATTCATTTATTTTTAGTGAGTTTGAGAGGGGTGTTGTGCTTAACCATGACTTACCTACACTACAAAGAAGAGGTAAGTGCCTGTCAAAGACAGCTCAAATGATAAACAATCACTGAATAGCTTTTAATGAAAATCTACCAAACAAGGTTTACAAATAAAAATCTAGATGTTTTACTCCACACTGCAAATCAGTAACTACATCCAACTATAGCCCTGCCTTCAACATAAATTTCATAACAAGAATACCCAGTTTAAATCTAGAATCAACCAAACGATCTTTAACTGTGCAAAAATCGTTAAAACACGGCATCCAATTCAATCTCTCGAACAACCATTGATATCTAAGCTCCATGGTATTATCATCATGAAATTCGAACAACAAAATCACAACTTTTACGAATTGCTTGAATTTGAGGGATTGTTTGAATTAGTCATTTTTTGTTCTATTTATGACAAACAGAAATATACATACAGGGATAGTCACTGATAAAATATGGATGTAATAACAAAGAAACAACAAATATATATAAATGTTCCAACAGAAATGAAAAAGGGGGAAAACTGGCATCATCTCAAAACTCTCCCCAGTACAAGCAACTTAACATCATCGCCATCAATATTAAAGTACAGAGAGATACAGCAGCACAAAAATATCAAAGACACGAGCAAATTGACAACCCAACTTTTTTATACCCTTGCTCCATTTCCATTATGTCCATTTGTTCCATTTACCCCATTAGACATCTTTTGAGAAGCAGCAGATTTCTTCCTCTTCACAACTAGATACTAGATCTGGGACTGCACAAGGACATAATTTGTAATGGCTGAACATTATTACATCTGGGGCAAGAAGTTCTAAAGATTCAAAGCACATTTTAATCAGAAAAAGATTACATCTAATAAGTTGGTTAAAGCACAATTTTAATCAGAAGTTAAAGAAACAAAACATTATAATAATTTTGAGCACGCAACATTTTCAATTGAGTTTGAACTTTAACTTTACTGTAGATCTACGATATTTCCCTATAACCCAATAAATAAATTGATAGCTACTTAATAAACGAATTAATGGTAAACAAATAACCCAATTTACATTTCACACAATATTCCCCATAAATCCGATAACAATCCAACAAATAAAAAATCAATAAATGATACCTCTTAGATGTCTCAAGCGCTGATTTGGGTCAATAAATTATTTCAACAATACTTTACTTTTCATTTTTCAATATATATTTAATTATTTCAATAATACCTGATCTTTTCTTTTTCAATATATATTTAATTTATTAATAATTTGAATTATTTTAGCAATATTATTATTAATTATTTTATGAACTATTTAGTTTTGATGAATATACATTTGACATATTCATTAACTTACTTTTTCGTTTTTCAATATATATTTAATTTATTTAACTGTATTTGACAAATTGATTATCTTTTCAGTTTTCAATATATATTTGATTTATTTAATTATTTGAACAATATTATCATGAATAATTTTGTCAATTATTTAGTTATAATCAATGTACATTTGACAGATTCATTCCACTTGATTTAATAGTAAATTAAATTTATTCAAATTTTCTTTTGGAACAAAATATGAATAATTTTAGAGTTTTCTTTCAATTGTTTATTCAATGATTGTTAATATACATAGAAGGTAAATGGGGGGGTGACATAATGCGTATCTATAATAATTTTAATTGATATATTCGATGCATATTAGGTGAATATAAAGAAAGTATGATATTTGTTGGATGTCGAGTTCAGATAAAAGGGTAAAATGAGAGACCATTCTAATTGACTTCCTCAACTATTTTAAGTGTTTTCACCAATTGATTTTTATTTCATTTGAATAAAAAATTATTCCACATAAACAATTTGTATTCATTGTTTTAGTGTGTTATGTGTGGAGAATTTACTAGGGTGGTATACGTTGTTTGATTAATGACTAATGGGTAAATATATATGTTGATTTTTTTGTACTTTCAAGAATCTAAAGAAATATATATGTTGAGAGGCTGCAGTTTTTGTACAAGCAAATTGAGCGAACAATTGGATCCATAATATTGATAATGTGAAACTTGAATGAAAGATGGAAACAGATCTTAGCTTTCATTCAATTGGTATAAATGTGCAGCATCCAAAATGTTGAATGTTATGATAGGAATATGCATATAATGCAGTACGTGGTAGTTAAAATCAAATGTATACATATACATAGAAGTTCTGTATTTTGT